AGACATTCCTCCAGCCTAATCTAAAGGAAGCAGGGGACATGGGCTTAGGCAGCTATGAAGTCTGGGTGCCTCATTTTCTGGGGAAGTGCTTAAATCTCTAGGCTATTATACAGAACAAAGCGGCTGTCCAACTTCTAAGCATCCGGGGGCCGCAGGCCACATCAGTGGGGGCTTTACGAGCACCAGCCATAGATTTCATAGATTTTTAGGGTCAGAAGGCACCTCAGTAGATCATCGAGTCTGACCCCCTGCCCTGGGCAGGAAAGAGCGCTAGGGTCAGGTGACCCCAGCCAGGTGTTTGTCCAGTCTTCTCTTAAAGACCCCCAAGGTAGGGGAGAGCACCACCTCCCTTGGGAGCCCATTCCAGATTCTGGTCACCCTGACTGTGAAGAAGTTCTTCCTGATGTCTAGTCTAAATCTGCTCTCTGTCAGTTTGTGGCCATTGTTTCTAGTTACCACAAGGGGTGCTCTGGTAAACAGACTATCTCCTCTTCCTTGCTGCTCCCCCTTGATGAATTTATAGATGGCCACAAGATCACCTCTCAGCCTTCTCTTGCAGTGGCTGAAGAGGTCCAAGTCCCTCAGTTTCTTCTCGTGGGACCTTACCTGCAGGTTTTTAACCATATGAGTGGCCCTCCTCTGGACCTTCTCAGAGTTATCCACATCCCTCTTGAAGTGCAGTGTCCAAAACTGAATGCAGTACCCAAGCTGTGGCCTCACCAGTGCTGCATAGAGGGGAAGTATCACCTCCTTAGACCTATATCACCAGCGAATGCATGACAGCGTGCAGTTAGCGTTAACTATCATTTTGTCACACTGATGACTCATGTTCATCTTGGAGTCAACTATGACTCTGAGATTCCTTTCTGCTGCCGTGCTGCTTAGAAAGTCATCCCCCAGTCTGTAAGTGTGTTGATGATTCTTTTTCCCCTAGGTGCAGCACTTTGCACTTATCTTTGTTAAACTGCATCCTATTCTTTACTGCCCACTTTTCCAACCTATCCAAATCTGCCTGAATCCGTTCCCTGCCCCCAGTGTGTTTCCTTTGCCCCATAATTTGGTGTCACCCGTGAATTTGGATAGAGTGCTCTCCACGCCCTCATCTAAGTCACCGATGAAGATATCGAACAGAAGTGGTCCAAAGACCGAACTCTAGGGAACTCCACTGCCCACATCTCTCCAGGTTGATACCGGCCCGTCCACCACCACTCTCTGGGTGCATCTCATGAGCCAACTTGCCATCCACCTGGCCATGTAATCATCTACAGCACAGCCACTTAGTTTATATATAAGAATGGGATGATACAGCGTATCAAAGGCCTTGTTGAAAAGCAAGTAAATGGCATTTACTTCGATTCCTTCATATAAGCATTTGGTGACCTGATCATAAAAAGAAACAAGGTTAGTGAGACAGGGGCAAGCTTTCAATCCTGGTGCAAGCACCGTCCTGCCTCCTGTCTATGGTCCAGCCACTCACCTCACTCATCTGCCATGCCTTGATGTCAAAGTATTGGGATGTTAATCAGCCGGGAGGCTGCCCATTTTGAACCCCAATGTTTAAGGAGATATCCACAGCTCCATTCCACCCCTACACTGCCACCCAAGCTTTGCAGATGGCATCCACCAGTGGTTTACACTGGGTCTTTCATAAAACAGAGCGATAGGAGGAGTGATGGCTGAGGGGGAATCTGGGGGGCACAAATTAACCCCTCCAAACTGCATATGGCTCATAGGTTGCCTGTTGGATAGCCCTGATCTAAAAGATAGGGCTTCCCACCACTGCCACCACCTCCTCCTCTGACAACTGGGTTTATCAGACTGCTCACTCATTTAAAGAAAGTCTGTAGATAGGCTGAAACTTCAAAAGACTTGTCATCTGTATTATTTCAGGATTGGGGATTTGCATCAACTATCCCCAGTATCTTTACCACCAATGGGAAGCCTTGATCAAGGAATACAACTAGTAGCAACCTCATGCAGATATATATAACTTTAATAACATTAATATTGAAAAGTAATATGAAATCTCTGAAGAGTCCAGGGCCTCTTTCACAGCTCCATTCTCTCTTGCTTTCCCTTCTCTCTCCCTGCCCAATTCCAACAGGTCTCAATATACAATCAGTCTTTGCAGAAGTGTTGCATCACTGTTGGTTTGTGGTGCTGTTTCTGCTTGATGAAGCAGTTGCTTGCAACAAGAGAATTGGCTTTGTGTTTCAATTTCTCTGGGTAGAAGGCAGGACAGGTTGGCACATTATTAGGAACGAAATAGTTAAGGTGCCACCCTGCCCCACCTTCTGTTTCACTTCAGGCTACCATGGCTGACTACCTCTCTCTACTCATTCATTTCTCTAGTGTTCATTTTTTGGACAGCATATTTTCTGGGAAACCAGGTATTGGTATCTCGGTCAGGATTTCTGAATGGGGAGTTTGCCTTGTGACATTCATGGCTGCCACTGTTCACACTATATACAGCATGTAACATAAGTAACTGCCAAGCTCAGGGGGTGCACATGCACTCGTATGCACCCGCTACACATCGCCAATGGTTACATGGCCCTCATCCTTAGATTCTTGCGTGCATTTTAGCAACACTTGCAGCAACTAGATACTGGCAGCCCTTGTCCCCTTGCTTTACCTGTGACAGGTTAGCATGTTTTCATGTCTTTGGGCAATATGCCTTGTAGTTGTGTGACAGGCGTTGATTATGTACAATTAGACAAGGATTTGTATGGGATGGTGAGGGTAGGGACGATCCTGCCTTGAGCAGGCAGTTGGACTAGATGACCTCCAGAGGTCACTTCCAGCCCTACTTTTCCATGATTTTATAATTCTGTCTCCCCAGGGATTCTCCTTTATTTGCCTCCTTTGTTCTTTGTGCAGGAGAAGCAGTATTTTTCCTTTCCTGGAGAGCTTCTTATGAGGTTGCTGAAAATGCTGATTCTTCCCCTCATTACTTCCAGGTAAGAATGACTCTTGCACTTAAAAGTTGACTTTTATTAAATCATGTGGAGCAAATCATTTTAGCTACACGCTCAGGAGCTAAATTGTCCTCTTTACCCCTTATGCCAGAGGAAAACATTCAGATGTTGGGCAGTTCCCTCTGCAAGTGATTATTAGACTGCATAATTGCATATAAGGGATTGCTAATATTTATACCTGGTCCACCAGAAAAACAGGCATCCCCAGCTAAAAACTGTAAAGAATAATACCATCATAAATCCAGCATGTGGTGCTTGCATGCTTATTTTCCTATACCTATTTATTTGTATAGTATTTATATTTATATCCTACCCTGCCCAGAAAGGCTCAAAGTGAGTGTCTCTATTATCTTTTTATGGTGATGACTCCTAAGTGTACAGGAAACAAGTCCTTCCCAGTAATGTCTCTGAATTATCATTAAATTAACCTCAACGTGCCAAGAGAAAATACTGAAAGGCAAAAACATTTTCAACAGCTCCACATCGGTGACATTTTAAGGTTAGGAATCCAAAAGATGCGTTTCCTTTTCTTTTCCCCGAAAGCAGACTGGAGTGTGATCTCTGACACTCAGGAGCACCCAACAATACTAGGCTCCTTAATAGACAAGCCCTGGACTCTTTAAGAGACAAGATTCATAGACAAACGCACACATGATCCACAGCCTGAAAGGTGAAGCGCACACATTGGGTGCACTGTTCTTTTCTGGATGACTAGGTATCCAGATTTGGTCACCTATTTGGCATTTTTTGGTCATATACATCTCAAAGAGGCCACTTACACACATGCTGATGTTCTGTCCTGGCACACACAGCCCTGCAGTCCTGGATAACTACGTGCAAGGGTGGATCCAGAGTGGTGCAGCTGCAACCCCTCCTTAAATCCTGCTTCACCCAAAGTGTAAAACAAGCTGCAGCAGCATTTCTGTTCAGGCAGCAGACAGGGAGTCGCTTGTCTTCATGGCTCATTGAAACCTGCCTGATGCCAGCCAAGTTCTTCATTCCACCGGAGGGAGAGACCATCTCTCCTTTCATGGCCTTAATGTTCCATTAATCAAGTCAGTCTTTCTTCTGCAATTCTGCTGCCTGGCAGCTGCTCCTGGTAACGTAGCTCCTATTTCACAGCCCTGCAGACAGTCTTTAACTCAAGCTATAAACATTAATTCAGGTGAACATTAACTCAGGCATGGAAATGACTGATAGTGAAGCACTGATAATGAGTAGGCCTGTGCGAAGCGGCTAACATTCACTTCAGGTTCATATTCGGCCGATTCGGGGGACAGTGATTTGCTTCAGTGGTTCAAATTGATTCAGCCGAATCTCTGAATGAGACAGGCCCATCCCCCTCAGCCCTTGTCTGCCCCAGCTCCTGGCTCTTTGGAAAAAAAAAAGCCCTGGCTCACCGAGTGCTGCCAGGCGGCGGGCGATCCCTGCTGCCCCCCTCCTACCCCATGCTGCATGGGGGGCAGTGCACAAGCCCCCCAAGCTCCCCGTTCGCCAGCCCCACCCAGGCCAGCTCCAGCTCTTTAAGGAAAAAACCCCAAAAAACAAGAAAAGCCCTGCACTCA